TGAAACTTGTATATTATATTCATACATTACATACAAACTCATATATTTCAGATGTTTATTTTGTTTAATTTTGATGATTACAAATGACAACAAATGAAAATCTCAAATTCATCATATCAGAAAATTAGAATATTACTGAAGACCAATAAAAACAAAGGATTTATAGAAATGTTGGCCAACTGAAAAGTATGAACATGAAAAGTATGAGCATGTACAGCACTCAGTATTTAGTTGGGCCTCCTTTGGCCTGTATTACTGCAGCAATGCGGCGTGGCATGGAGTCGATCAGTCTGTGGCACTGCTCAGGTGTTATGATAGCCCAGGTTGCTCTAATAGTGGCTTTTAGCTCTTCTGAATTGTTGGGTCTGGTGTATTGCATCTTCTTCTTCACAATACCCCATAGATTTTCTATGGGGTTAAGGTCAGGAGAGTTTGCTGGCCAATTAAGAACAGGGATACCATGGTCCTTCAACCAGGTACTGGTAGCTTTGGCACTGTGTGCAGGTGCCAAGTCCTGTTGGAAAATGAAATCTGCATCTCCAAAAAGTTGGTCAGCTGCAGGAAGCATGAAGTGCTCTAAAACTTCCTGGTATGTGGCTGCGTTGACCCTGGACCTCAGAAAACACAATGGACCAACACCAGCAGATGACATGGCACCCCAAACCATCACTGACTGTGGAAACTTTACACTGGACTTCAAGCAACGTGGATGAAGTGCCTCTCTTCTTTTCCTCCAGACTCTGGGACCTTGATTTCCAAAGGAAATGCAAAATTTACTTTCATCAGAGAACATGACTTTGGACCACTCACCAGTCCTGTTTCTCTTTAGCCCAGGCAAGACGCTTCTGACGCTGTCTGTGGTTCAAGAGTGGCTTGACACAAGGAATGCGACAGCAGAAACCCATGTCTTTCATACGTCTGTGTGTGGTGGTTCTTGAAGCACTCACTCCAGCTGCAGTCCACTCTTTGTGAATCTCCCCCACATTTTTGAATGGGTTTTGTTTCACAATCCTCTCCAGGGTGCGGTTATCTCTCTTGCTTGTACACTTTTTTCGACCACATCTTTTCCTTCCCTTCGCCTCTCTATTAATGTGCTTGGACACTGAGCTCTGTGAACAGCCAGCCTCTTTAGCGATGACCTTTTGTGTCTTGCCCTCCTTGTGCAAGGTGTCGATGGTCGTCTTTTGGACAACTGTCAAGTCAGCAGTCTTCCCCATGATTGTGTAGCCTATAGAACTAGACTGAAAGACCATTTAAAGGCTTTTGCAGGTGGTTTGAGTTAATTAGCTGATTAGAGTGTGGCACCAGGGGCCATCAATTTTGAACCTTTTCACAATATTCTAATTTTCTGATATGATGAATTTGAGATTTTCATTTGTTGTCATTTGTAATCATCAAAATTAAACAAAATAAACATCTGAAATATATGAGTTTGTATGTAATGTATGAATATAATATACAAGTTTCACTTTTTAAATGGAATTACTGAAATCAATCTACTTTTTCATGATATTCTAATTTTATGACCAGCACCTGTATCTGCTGTTCAGGCCAAGTTTTCATGAATGCTGAACAAAACAAGACTGTTTGTCAAACATAATTTGCTTTTGTCTCGGTGATGCCCCGGGATTGTACAGCTAAAGAGAAGGTGGCCGATGATACAACATCTCTCCCCGCAGTGTGACAGAGTTGTTATTTCTGCTCTGTAAGCGGAAAAGCTCTGCGATGTCTCAGAGTTCAGCCATTGAAAGCTGGAAAGCAGCTGCAGAACAGGAGCTACTTTTCTAATCAGGGCTCCATGGATTCTGACTGAGGGATACACAAACTTCAGAGCGCCATCATCAACATGGGGAAGAACAAAGTTTTAGAAAGCTGTGCCTCATTTCATTAATCAATTAAAAACCATATGTTATGGTCTTACCTACAGTAATGTGCAGTTTTATTGTTTGACACATTTCTCGGTTAACCATTAAAAATTAAATTGATACATTTATTATTAAATTGATTAATTGATGGATTTTATTTATCTCACAGTGGAGAAATGCACTTGTAACATCTGCTCAATTGTTAAAAAGAAGGAAGATGTCAAAAGGAGGAATAGGAGCATGGGGTATATACAGTATATACATTGTTTCCACTCACAGACACACACACACATATATATATATATATATATATATATATATATATATATATATATATATATATATATATATATATATAAAACAGCTGAAGTCTCTTATTTAACATGATTATTAGACAGGGTTATTGCACTGTGTATTAAATAGTGATTTCATAGGGGAGTGTTGGCCTAGTGGTGAGAGCAGCTTGTGCTCTCAGGAAGGTTGCAGGTACCCGGTTTAATGCCCACAGGCTGCACTCTGGGTCCCTGAGCAAAACCCTTAACCCCACACTGCTCCCCAGGCGCCGCACAATGGCAGCCCACTGCTCCCCAAGGGGATGGGTTATATGCACAGGTAAATTTCTCCAGTGTAATATCAATAAAGTTCAATTACTAGTTATTCTAAGTTATTGCAGGAAAAGCTTAAAAAGTAATTGCAAAGTTTTTCTTTGTGGCAAAGGCAGTATTATGAAGTGTTGCAGGATGCCGAGCATCTGCAAATATTTTTACAATTTTGTATTTAATTAATTTTTTTAAAAAAATTTTTGACTACAAAAATATTTCCTGAGAGCATCAAATCATCGAAAGAAAAATTAAACATATATATATATATATATATACAACACAAACAATGGTGAAATCCCTGAAACCTTTCTGCACTTTTGGTTCCTCAAGATTCATATAATTTATGAATGAAGTTTTTCTCTCCCTTGTTTCTTTCAGATATCTCTTTTCAGCTTTTTGGTATTATTTATTCTTTGGTCTAGTTGTAGTCAGTTTTATTGCTAGTTACAGTTAGATTCCCTGGTAATTCTTTGTTGCCCATAGTGACCCTTTTCTTTCCCCTGAGCTCCTTTTTAGTTGTTCCTACCTGCTCCCTATGAACTGAGTAGCCCATTCATCGTTTTTTTTCCCTCCTATATATATATATATATATATATATATATATATATATATATATACCTCCTGTGCAGTTCGTCTTTGCTGGATTCTGTCTCCTTGGTTTGGATTCTAAGTTCATTGTTAAACCTACAAGAAATCATCTCTGCTTCCATCTCTGCATTTGGTTCCTCTACAAACTTCCACCAAACGTGACCTATACACGTATACTTTATGGTGCAATTCAAAGTGTAGCAGGTTACAATAAAAATATGTTAAAATTAACGGTGCACGTGCATGAAGGGGCATTAAATTGTCCTGCTACATGTTTTGACTGTGTGGGTCTGATTACTCTTGATTGTTTCTGCCATTGTACACAAGAGATTTAAAAAGCGTGTCAGGAACATCAACTCATTTGCATATACGGCATCAAAATACTCTTGACCACATCTGACTGTTGTGAGCACAACTACAAAAGATGAGGCGTTTGACTCATCTTAAATGACGTTAAATGTGGTGCAGATAATGCACTCAATCCTTCAATTATTGTATTTTTATTGAACTTTTATTAGGGTAGAATTAATAAAAGTCTGTTTTAAACTAGGCATAAAAAGCCTTATCTTTGTTGTGTTGGTTCTACTAATTTGGGATCACATAGTAATTTGAAAAAATGTTTTGCAAAGTAAGTAATGGTGTGACTTTTAGTTTGAATTTCAAGCATCTAGAATGCTGAGGTAAGCGAGGAATCTGGATAATGCAATATGAAAATTATTATTGGGGCGTTTTCTTAAATAATTGCCTCATGGCCGTATGATAGGTGTAAATGTACAGCACAGGCTTCCATCCATACATTTTACATTAGTACTTTTTTTCATCTCCCCACAAATCTCTCTGTGGAAATAAAACCCTCCAAAATCCACCCCTGGGTATAAAATTTTATTTATAAGTTTGATATAAAACCTAATTTACCTCTTTTTATATTTAACTCTTATACATAAAAAGTAACTGAGCAGTACTTAACTGCTTATAAAATTCAATTTTAATGAGCACATAAACTTATCTTCCACAGTTTTTACCAGCAAATGTAACTTTTGGGAGCCTATATGCATTAATAATCATTGTCAGACTTTGATCACTGTCTGCAGTGATGCTGCAGAGAAACTTATGGCGATCTTAGGTTAAATCTCTGTGCTAAAACCAGCATTCAAGAAGCCGTAAAAGATAGTTTGAAGACATAAACTTCTGTTGAAGCTAAAAATAAAAGGTGCTGTCAGCTTGAGTCTGTTCTGCTTTTTAATGTGTACACATTTGCACAACCCACCTGAAGGGATGCTAGTCATGCTGATTAACAGAGAAGAGATAAAGTCATTTTTTCTGCCGTTACCCTCTTGTAGCCACACAGCTGTAGATTGTTTAATCTTGATGCTCCTCCTCTAGCCTTGTCCTCGCTGCTCTTTCCTTCCTCTTCCCTGTTCAGCCGGAGAACAAGGTGACCCAGGGAAGCCTCTGCCGTCCATCCAGAGGCTGATCCACTTACAATTCTCTTCATACTCTCCTCATTGTCTCTGAAAACGCGCAGGACCAGACATTCATCGGTAGCTGCTTTCAGAAGTGATAAACTCACTCAGAGAACATGTTTATTTAGAGCCTGGCTCATGTTTTATTGATTCTTCCAGACGCTCATATAAGAAAGCAACAAGCACCTGAATTTACTCATGTTTGCTTTATAAAGCACACCTTCTGTCTTCTCCTTCCAACGTTGTTTACTTTTGCTACAGATTGAGACAATTTACCAAACACTCGACCACTGTAGCTTGAGTCATCTAATTGAATATTGACTGGCGGCCAGCAGCACCTTTTTTTATCTCTCATAAATCTGTTTCTGTGAAGGATTTTAATGAAACACGTCAGGGCGGATATTATATTTGCAATTGTTGTATTGCAAAGAAAAACCATGTAAAAAACCAGTGTTGTTTGTTTTGTTGTTTCTGTTGTTTAGACAACCTGCTGATTGATTACCAGTTTACCTTCAGCCTGCTTCAGGAGGACGACCGCCACTATACCGCCATCAACTTTATGGCCACTCCGGAACAGGTACTCTGCTTTATTTATGTCATATTTCAGTTTTAAAAAAACATGATATATGTTACTTATTTCTTCAAGCAGAACTTCTCTTTCATTCAGAGTTTTAAAGAAAAACGCTTAGGACAAAATCTTTTGTTAAAGTTATATTTAACGAATATGCAGAAAGCAGGCTGAGATCGGAGGAAACGGGACCTTTGTACCTTTTTTCTGAAAGAGTTTCAACACCTATCCAAGAGTCTTTTTCAGATCTGTAGTTGGATTGCTGATTTTTTCGAGCAGCTGCAGGTCCATCCTACTAAAGGCGTTCCAAGTCAGATACCATTAAATTACCCATGCATTTCTCTGCTGGGCAGCTGATATCATTGTGGCCATTTCCATCATGATGAGACTGCAAGGTAACCTCTTCTGAATGAGTTTCAGGAACCACAATCCTTCCCTGTCCTTCCACGCATCTACAGTTTGTTTCTGGAACTCATTCTGCAGAGGAAGACTCCAACAACCTAGGAGAAGGACAGGCGGGTTTTTGATTTGAAACTTCGTAGGATGGACACCCAGCTGTGTAAAAGCATCAGCACTTCATCTATAGATTGCTCTGGCTTGACCCCACAGAATGGAAAAAGACCCCATGGTTGCTATTGGAAAGGTTTCAGTAAAAACTGAGGAGAAGTCAAGATGCCTCTGTGGCTGTCATGACCCGGATGACTGAGAATTTATACAGGAATTTAAAGAATACCAAAAGATTAGAAAGAAATTAATTTTTTCTTTCCCAAATGATGATTAACAATTAAAAATTTGAAGAGCCTTAAAATAACACTACAGACACAAAGAAAGCAGGAGTTACACAGACTTTGCTTTTGTTAAATATAATGTGGAAACACCAATTCTACTCTAGATGTTAACTAAACCTTGAATGTTTTTCTGCAGGCCAATAAGAACCTTGACATGTCCATCAATGCCTCAAACAACTTCAACCTCAACATTACCTGGTCCCTCAGCTCAACAGGTAAACTGCATTTTTATATCAATGCCTTAATACTGTTCTAGTTCTCTTTGTTCTATTTTGTTTACTGATGCAGTGATCTAGGTTTTATTAAAATGTTTTCTATCAGATATTTTTAATCCCCCAAATATATTGTGAGAGAAAGTCATGTGGTTAGATGAGACCAAAATGAAAATGTTTGGTCATAATTCCACCAACTGTGTTTGGAGGAAGAAGAATGATGAGAACCCAAGAACACCATCCCTACTCTGAAGCATGGGGGTGGTAGCATCATGCTTTGGGGGTGTTTTTCTGCACATGGGACTGCACTTTATTGAGGAGAGAATGACTGTGGCCATGTATTGGGAGATTCTGGGGAATAACCTCCTTCCCTCAGCAGTTAGAGATCAAGATGGGTGGAGGCTGGGTCTTCCAGCATCATAATGACCTGAAGCGCACAGCCAGGATTACCAAGGAGCGGCTCTGGAAGAAGCAGATCTAGGTTCTTGCATTGCCTAGCCAGTGTCCAGACCTGATTCTGTTGTTTGTATGTTTGAAGCAACTTTTTTGATTGAATAATAAAGACACAAATGTCCCAATCAAAAAACAATGTTACTTCAATTTAAAAAGTTGCCTTATACAAAAAAGACTGGACTTCTATCAAATAAAACATTTTCAATCAAAGAAAAGCAGTGTTCAAATATATTTGTTTGAGTCTCAAATATATTTTTGCATTCAAAATACTTTTTTTCTTAGATTGAAAAGTTTTTTTGATTGAAGTGATGTTTTTTAACTGAATGTTAAAGAAACACATCTATCTTCATAGTTGTTAAAATACATGTTTTCCTTGTTTTGTTATAACCAAAAACTACGGCATATGTAGACAATGCTGCAGTCTTATTTATATAAATTTGTGCCTGTCACCTGGCTTGAACAGGAGGTACAGTAACTGAGCAGAGGCTTCTCAGGAGGCAGATTGAAGGTCCAGTCTGGGGTTATACGAGATTGACAGACTGATCCAGACAGGGGGAGAGGTGAACAGACTTGGTTTTGAGAAAGACAGGAGGTCGATGTCCAGAGATCAAAAAGCAACAGGAACATCCGACAGTGGCAAGGCAGGCCGGAGAAACATGAAGGAGACAGGTTGTGATCAGAAGGTCAAAACAAGACTTGCTCGTTGCTTTTCTCACACAAATGGTTTTCAAGAATCTGGCAGTTACCTACCGGGAGATCCAAGAATATGTAGTGCTCCTCCCAGGTCCAGCAACCCTCAGTAACTGCAACCCTGGCAGGTGTAACTGCTCAGACTAGAGGTCAGTGTAGCAGAGGGAGTGGGAAGTGCATCATGGGAGACATCTGGACACAGCAGCTTCACAGACAGGAATCCTTATATGATACTGTATTGAATAATTGACCTGCCTAACTGAAAAGAGAACATGGAAAAAAAATAATTATAAAATGAAATGTTATCAAAATCAAAGAAGCTTTAAACTTTTTTAGTCTACAAAAAATTTAATATAACAGCGCACTCAGACTACAGTGTTCATCTCCTGATTTGTAGCACTTGTGTGATCAAGGTGGTATTTTTGCTAGGTGCTGCATGCAGTGATGCTGAGATGCATGACATTTTAAAACCTGCAGGTGTGTTAGTTTACGTGGAAAGTAAAACACTTTTTTTTTTTTACACTGAACAGCTCTTTAGTCTGAAAGCCAGCAGAGTTTGGCTCACCTGCAGTCTGATTATGTAAAGGTCTAATCAACCATCAGAACTGGAAACAGCTGCATGAGGCTGAATTGCCTTCATGAACTCAAATCAAGACCATGTGTGTCGTTCTGTAAGCGAAGTTCCGTATACCTACTTTGAAATTATAAGGGTCAGGCTATGGTTTGAAAGTCAGTGAAATGTAATTTTGTTGTATATTTAATGACCTTATCTAGGGTTCAAACTTGTCATAAGATGTTAGAGCAACTGCCCAGATGTCACGTTTTGTTATGCTATCTTTTGCTGCCAACAAGTGATGGATCTCCCTCAGCTTGAAGTACTCTTTCTCAAACACCAAATGAAAAAAATCTAAATTTGTATTGACTGAGCTGCTATAGACACTCAGTGGTTTTGTGTCAAACAGGTGCTGCATGCAGGACTCCCATAATAGTCAAAAGCCAAAGCAAAAAGTACAAACCGAATACAAACTGCACCGAATGAAAATAAAATAGTTTGCTTTTGGTCCGGATCGAACAGTCGGAACAAATGATTTCTCTGGTATAAATACACTTTAATCTGGCCATTGTTTTGTAAGGGGTGCTTCAGTGTTTATGGGTCATTCCATCAAAACTGTTAAGTTTGGGTCCATAACATTCAAAGAGGTATAGGAAGCATAATAAAACTGTCAGTAATACACTAAAAAGTGTCTAAAGCCATTGATTCAAGTTTAGCTGGTAGCATGAGGTCAAATAAAATTGAATAATAAATATGTATTTTGCACATTTATAACTTTTTATGTTAAACTGCAATCGTTTTCTAATGTCCGCTCTGAAAATTTTTCTCATTCGTGTAATGTAAAACTTAAGAAATATGAAATAAATCTCAAAAATGTTTTGTTGTTATGGTTAGAAATACTTTCCTCTTAATAGGAAATGTGTTAATTATATTAAAATGTCATATTTTTTTATTGATGATGATGATTTCATATTGCACCCCATCACACCAGTGTTATTTTGCACCAAAATGCAATACACCTCCTAGAAGTGGCATCACTAACATGAAGTGACATCACTAACATGAAGTGACATCACTAACATGAAGTGACATCATTTAAGAGTTTGAAGTCCAAACAATGGTGAGTTCTGGTTTTTCTTTAAGAACATTTTTGGTACATTTTTCCTTCAAAATCCTTTCTATTAACCATAGCATATCCACCCCGTCACACACAAAAAGTGGGGGAAACAATTTATTTATCAAATTTTGAAATTATATTTGTATTAATCATTCATTTTTCATTGTACTTCAATGCTAACGGCACCATCAGGTTTTAACATTTTCAGAAATTGAGCCATATTGCTTTAGATTTTCCACCCCGTCACACTAAAAACTCTGAAGGGGTGGAATCATTGTGATAGGTGGCAACGTTCTTCATATTGAATTAAAGCTGTACATCACATAAAAACATAAAAAAAACACTTTGAACACACTATTGTTTTTTTTTTTTTAAATGACACTTTCTGAAGTGAATAACATTTTGTTTGTCTTACTTTTATCTAAAACTACCCTTTAATTTGTTAACCTTTGTCCTGTGACGGGGTGGAAAAGGAAACTCTGTTCCCTGGATATAATGTGCTAAAATATTCGCAGAAAATGGTGTCTGAGCTTGAAAAATATGTTCTATTGCAAGTGTTACATGTTCTACAGGCTATTATCAAAAACCGTTAAATTCAGAGGTCCAATCTTTACACTTTCCATGCAATGACCCTTATGGCTGTGATTTCAGCGTAGTGTGAGCAGCCACACCACTTTAACACCCTTTACCGATGTCCAGCTCAGTGGCAAAGACTTGCATAGACTTAAAAACTGTTACTTTGAGAAGTAGAGCTCTGACTGAAGGTTATGTCAAAGCACCAAACCTGCATAACTTACTCATCCCTGCCTCATTGGCTCTTATTAAATGAAACCAGAGTTTGCAGAATTTTTGACCAACTGTACTTTATTGAGGATTTTCTAAATCAACAATAGAGTGTGTTCTTAGCCTCACAGGCTCCAAATGAAGGTCATGAGAGATAAGAATGAGTTCCACAGCTTCCTTCATGGCATGAAGGTGAGGACTGCTGTTTTGAGAAGATCCATCTGGCCAGTGAAAGATATATTAACCTAACAGGGAACAGGCTTGATGAACACAAGTTGTTTTTCCTCCAAATGTTCAAGTTCTTTATGCAGGGGGTGGGTTGGTTCCCCCCACAGGAGTGTGTGTGGGGATTTTGTAAGGTATAAATGTATGTACTGTTTGCCTCAGTCAGAGCTCTATCTTTCCATCTGAGGATGTTAAATAAAACTGAACCTTTGCTCTTGAAAGAAAGGCCTCTGCCTCAGCTTCTTAACTCCACATTACTTACTTTAAATTAAAACGACCAACATTTTTCATAAAATGTTTTATGTAGAATCGACATATGAACTCTCCTGTTGCTTTACTGTTCCGCATTTTTGGTGGTAAAATGTAGAGAAATTTATTTCATCTCACTTGTAAATTGCTCCATTCTGTTTTTTTTTTTTTTTTCTTTCTAACACATGTATTATGTGCACGCATTGGGTTATAGTTGACATATTTCGTCGTATTCCTACAGAAGTCACTTGGTTTTTCTCAGGCACAGGTGTCAAGTAACGAAGTACAAATACTTCGTTACTGTACTTAAGTACACTTTTTAGGTATATATACTTTACTCCATTACATATTTTTCCTCCTACTTTTGACTTCTACTCATTACATTTTCACACAAGTATCCTTACTTTCTATTCCTTACATTTTTAAAACAAACGTTACTCGTTACTCTTGGCTTCGGATTAAAGCACAGGTCACGGATTAGCGGACTGCGATGTTATGAACAACATTAAATCCAAAGATTTTGTCCGAGGTAAAGCTGATGTATTTGTTGTAGTCTCTTGTTATTCACACACAACAATTATCAGTGATTAGCCGACGTGGGTTTTAAAACTGCAGAGCTTTGTCTTCAGCTGAAAATCAAACGCGCATCTACACAGACCATTGTGATGCATTCGCGAGCGTCAGACAGCTATGGTGCATTTAGGAGCATGGGACATTTCAGACTTACAAGGAAAGAGACAAAAACGGAACAGAACTCATATAATAATGTATTTATTCAGAAACAGTGTGGGCTTTCTTATAATACTGAATGCTCTATAATTGTGTTTCTGTTATTTTTTGATTATGCACATCTGCTAGCTTTTTATTCTAAAAAATCTATAATATTACAGCAGCAAATTATCAAAGTTTTTCAAAAGCCTGTTTAAAAGCTCC